CGCGTTTATGCGGGCCAGGACATAAAGCGGTAGATCACAATCACAACGAATGATTGCGATCTCGAGACATATTTATCCGGAAGGGATAAAAGGGGATACCAGGAAATGGGAGGATCCACCTGAACACCGACTTCAAGTCATTCTATCCCGGTTGAGAACCGGCCATACCAAAGTCTCCCACAACATGGGAGGCGGAGGCGGATTCAGACGACAGTGCGATACGTGCAATGTTCCACTTACAGCGGAGCATTTCTTATGCGAATGCCCCCAGTACCAAGGGCCCCGTTCCCTTTACGGAATCTCAGGCAGCATCCGGGATAACCTGAGGGATGACCCATCCAGCATCGCTGCACTTTTCTGCTTCCTTTAGGAGGCAGGTCTGGTTAACCAAATTTGATCTATGAACACCCAAGTAACGACAACGGACAATGATCCGGACCAATATATGGACTCAAAACTATACCTCGGCAACAAATACTGACTCGGACACGGATGAACGAAGATATCGAACAAAGCAAAGCACGTACAAGGACACGGAAATGGTCGAATGACGGCACTAAAATTAAACACAGCGATTACAAAGGAATAGGAAACGGAACTTGACCACTTGACCACGATTATTCAAAAGGACAGTAACATCGGTAGCATTAAAGGAAAATTCCCAACTCTGAAATATTAAAACTCTGTTATTATGAGGACTCTCTTCTGGAGCTCCCGCCCATCCCCTAGCTCCATATCATCGGTGTTCTCTTCTGGAACTTCACATCCCCTTTCTATAAGCTCTGTAATTAGGGGGACTCCCGTCTGAAAATGGAGCTTTGAAATTTGTGTAAAGTCTGAAACTAGAACTTTTCTTCAAAATTTGTGATTAATAACATGCTTCGTGATGCAAGATTTGGAGAAACAATAATTAAAATGTGAAAATTTGAATTTTTTTTCAAGATTACAGATTTGAAAAAAAAAACATCATTCTTATGATTCGTCATAATTGTCACGCTCTGAGACTTGGAAGCATTTTAAGGGTTATAACAAATTACATAAAGGGTGTCCACGATGAAATTGCCACACTATGAAATTGCTCTAACTTTTTAACCGTTTGGTAGAATTTAATGAAAATTTGGGTGGATTTAGTTCATAGTGCATTATTTACATCCTGCAAGTTTTAAAGTCCTGTGATCAAAACTCGCGGCAATGGAGTCGAAAGAACAGCTCGTGCGTGATAAAATCTTGCGCATTCATCACGAGAACAAGGATCTCTCGCATCGTTCCATCGCTAAAACGTTGGGAATCGCGAATTCCACGGTGTCGCGAGTGATTAAGCGGTTCGAGGAACGGTTGACCACCGATCGGAAGCCCAGAAGTGAAGGAAAAAGTATTCCGTACAACACCAAAAATCACAACCGCGTAGTTGGGGCCTTCAACCGAAATCCGAACGCCTCCGTTAGGGATGTGGCTAAGAAGCTGCACCTAAGCCGAAGTTTTGTCCAGAAGGCCAAAACTAAGGCTGGGCTTCGAACGTTCAAGGTACAAAAGGCCCCTAATCACGACGAGAAGCAGAACAAGTCCGCCAAAACCCGTGCCAGGAAGTTGTACCTCAACATGCTGACGAAAGTTGAATGCTGCATCATGGACGACGAAACATATGTGAAGGCCGACTTCAAACAGATCCCCGGCAACCTGTTTTTCACGGCCAAGGATAAGTTCAGCGTTCCGGAGCATGTCCGCACTCAGAAGATGTCCAAATTTGCGAAGAAATTCCTGGTTTGGCAAGCCATCTGCACGTGCGGGAAGCGGAGTGCACCTTTCGTGACCCAGGACACGATGAACGGACAGGTGTACATAAAAAAGTGCCTCCAGAAGCGGCTGCTCCCTCTCCTGAAGGCCCACAACGTCCCAACAATCTTCTGGCCGGATTTGGCCTCATGCCACTACTCCAAGGACGTGCTGAAGTGGTATGCGGACAATAAGGTCAATTTCGTGCCGAAAATGTTCAACCCTCCCAACACTCCGGAGCTCCGCCCCATCGAGAAGTACTGGGCGATTATGAAGCAGCACCTTCTTAAACGACCTAAGGTAGTGAAGACAATCGAGGAACTGAAGAAAGTATGGGTTTACATGCAAAAAACGGTTGATTCACAGGTTGTGCAGAATCTTATGGCCGGGGTTAAGGCCAAGGTGCGGGCATTTGCGTATGGACTGTAAATAAAATACGAGTAAAATGTTAAAATGAAGTTTAATAGTTATTTCTCAATCCCTGAAAATTTGATGGCAATCGGATGAAAACTCGAATTTTGCGAATCAATTTTGTGTGTGGCAATTTCATCGTGGACACCCTTTAACAATCTGTAGAATTTAGCGGACAAACCCTGGAATTTTTAGTAAAATTTAAAATAATTCACAGTGTTGATTACAAACAAGTATTGAGAAGGATTCCCACACAGTTTTCGAAGGAGAAGAGCAGATTTCCAGAATTATTCTGACATGAAATGCTTAGAAATTGTTAGATGAATTTGGAAGGATTTCTTTGGAGAAGAATGCAAGTTCTAAACTGTTAGGTAATTTTAGTAGATTTAAAAAGGAGTTGTGAAAAACAAAACTTTGCAGAAAATTCCTACGTGATTCTGATGAGATTTGTATGGGGATCGTGAGGAAAATGACAGATGAATTTTAAGAATTCCAAGAGAATTAAGATCAGAATTCAACAAGAAACAGAGTTCTTAGAAATTTCTGGCAATAATTTCAATCCTAGTGCGAAAGATTTATCACATAACTCAAACAAAATTGATTGCAAAAAATTTACTGGTAATTAGAAAGAAATTCTTTAAAATACTCCAAGGGGTTTCTAAATAAATTTTCGAAAGATTTCTGGTGTTTTGAATAGAGTTAAAAGAAATGTTGGAAAAGATTTTCAAAGGAATAAAAGTCTCCGGATAGGCTCAAGGGAATTATATGAAGGATTCCAATTAAATTCTTAGAAGGGGTTGGAAGGAAATTTCTAAAAAATTCAACGCTAATTATTACGCGAAGTATTTTCTGGTTTATTTCAGAACAATTTCAAGATAATTCAGAGCAAAATTCCAAGTTAATTCTGGAATTCATATCATGAGAATTTTGAACAACGAAAAATTAAAACCCCGGAAAAGAATAATTCAGTTTCGGTTTTTACAAATATTTGTTTCTAAAACTCCAGCATCTTCAATATTTTCTTTAGAGGACCATGCACTTTACAACTGAAATTGAAACGACAAAAATCAATTTGCAATATTGCTGAGTGATTAAATTCTAAAAACAATAAGACGGTAAACTGAAGAAAATTATGCAGCAAATAGAGTAAGACATTCATTTGCTAAAGGATCACTCTGTTTTAATAGTTTATTCTGAAATTCTGATGTAAAAATTTGTTCCTATTTTTCCCGGTTCTTTTGCAGAATTCCCGGGTTTTTTCCGGTTACTTTTCAAATTCCGGGATTCCCTATGACCTCCACATGCCAAATTTGGTTCCATTTGCGTGATTAGATCTCGAGTTATGCAGAAATTTGTTTCATTTGTATAAGAGCCCTCCTTACCGAGGAAGGAAGGGTCTCGTACCATCATAATAATCTTTCCCTGCTCCAAAAACCCATACATACAAATTTTCACGCCGATCGGTTCAGTAGTTTCCGAGTCTATAAGGATCAGACAGACAGCCACACAGACAGCCAGAAATGACAGAAATTCATTTTTATATATAGGGGAAATGTATGTAATGTCGGCCTAAATGCTCCTAATTTGGGCCATACATAAATTAAGCAAACGATTAAATTTTCAATAGCGACCAAAAACATCCATTAGTACCGTCCCAATGACGCGTTCATCTAGATAAAATTGATATATAGCAGATTTTTATGGATGGGCCCAATCTTATATCCATAGGCCAACAATTGAGCCATTTCCCCTATATAGATAAAGTGGAGACATCTCCACTGATTGAACTAAGGCACCTAAGTCTAGCAGTATACTGCATAATTTTTTTCAGAATACTGCATAGATATATACATGATCACATTTTATCCATTTTGTGCTCATAAAATATGTTTCCTTCTTCTTCTTCTTCTTCTTCTTCGCATTTCAAGCTTATTGCTTATCGCATAGTAACTTATTTCGTGCACTTCTAGATGCTCTTCCATATTCATTAATTGATAGTTATAGATACCTTTACCACAGACAAACAGACATAACACATTGAATATTTCTCACTGTAAAACATCGTCGCTAAAACATTACCGCCATCTGTTGAGTAGACTGTGGTGGGTAGTACGCTGAACAGATGGCGGTAGTGTGTAAACGTCAAACGCAAGGGAATTGACTATGCGCGCCACAGTTGGCGGTACTACCAACTACGATACTTTTAAATTGACCGTTAAATACTTGTTCGATGAACAATTTGCGAGTGTTATGTCTGTTTGTCTGTGCCTTTACCATTTCTGCGTTAGCATAATTGTGTGGCAAGTACAATCATACTCTATGCCCAGGGAAGTCGAGTAATTTTCCAACCCAAAAAATGCCTAGAACGGACCGAGAATCGACCCCAACCACATTCAGCATGGTCTTACTTTGTAGCTGCGCCTTTAACGACTATGCTACGGGAGGCCAAAAAAAGGTTTCTAGAAGAGCTTTAAGTGATTAAGGATTAACCAACATTTATATTTATGAACATTTTATTTATCAACTGCTAATCAATTACCTCATTGTTATTACGGTTAAAGAATGATAATAAATGTCTTAAAATGCATGATAAATGCTTATGCTTAACCATTAATCGTTGATTAATTTCCAGTATTCTACAGTGAATACATTTCTATGAACAAAATTCCCATTATTCACCCAACATATTGTCAATTTTGTTGAATCTTACGCTTAGAATTATGTCCCTTTCTCCAGCCTAGCTTAATGAACTAGATCGGAGTAAGCGCATGATTACATGTGCAAATTTGTTTTACTTTTTATCGCGAGGTACTCACCTGCGGCAGCGCTAGAGGTGCTAAATATGGATACCACAGCAAACACCAAAAATGCTCCCACTATTAAGAAGGCGAAGTTCTTCGCCTTTGTCATATTTCGGACAGACGTGTACGCCATCCTCACCAGCATTCCTTGCACCGAGGTCTGTTTTTAATTATAATCGTATTTCTTCTCCAAATTAAACCCTCCCACACCGTACAGCTATGACAAAGGTCAACCACTATCTATTTTTCTTAAATACAATATCGGTTTGACTAATTGCATGCCCGTTTCTGCATTTTTCTGGATCAATTTAGGCTTGGCTATGCGGTTGACGGTACCTTATTAAATATCCATCACCGAAACTCTCTGTGATAAATCAATTTGGCATTTCTTCCAAATTTGGCATCTTCTCAATACTGTAAAGTGTATTTTGGTCGACGTTTTCGTACACCTGCCTGCCCGCCGCACTTCCTGTATAATCGTACTTTGGAGGAACGCAGATTCTGATGTCCACTTGAGTCGCTGCTGGCTGCGCGCCTCAAATCGCTGATTTTTAAGGTCAACGACGGGAAATTCTATCAACACAAAACTAGGCTTATTGTTGTATAACTAACACGAAGCGCACGCACGGGCACGGCATTGTTGGCTCGAAATGGATAGCGAAACAACCAGCCAGCAGCAGCAACTTTTCCCTTTCAATACGAAGCAGCGAAAAATTAAACACAATTTTTTCTTTCTCCTTGCCTGTATCGCGGTTACAAAATATCCACCACCGCGAATGAAAAAAAAAAAACGCGGCCGACGGACGGACAGGTCTCTTTTCACCTTTCGCTATAAAGTTGTTTGTGAATGAAATAAATGAAAGATAGCACTAACAATGACCGCAGCACGGCAGCAGCAAACGAAACGTACGAACGCCAACCACTGGACTGGACAGAACTGGACGGCGACCGACCGACGCGAAGAGCTCACTGACGGATGAATCGAGTGACAGTTCTCTATCTCTCTCTCTTTCTGTGTGCCTGTTGTTTTGACACGGCTCCATACCATAAAACCAGCATAAATCGATGGCCGACTGACGGTGACAGCATAGAAACGGTAAATAAAACAGCATAAATTGTTGCAACATTTTTTGTTGAGCCAAACGTGTAGCAGTGCACATGCGTGACATCTTTATACACGCTTACTTTAGGTACTACTTTTTCTCAAAAACTTTACTTACCGTGGTCAGCATCGACGTCACAGTCCCGCAAAGAGAAAATCACAATGGGGTTGTTTAGGGGTATTGAGGTAAATACATATTCGTTATCGGCATTAAAAATGGAACCGAAATCCAAAACTTCATCAATATTGGTACACTGGAACTATTTTAAATAAGTACGATTACATTAGCAAAAATCCTAGGGGCACGCAATAACGTTTAACTCCAACGCAGGCAACGTTAACTACACAATGTAGAACATTAACTACTTTTGAACTCCAATAATTACAGTCGAAATTTCGTAATTAACGTACATTAATTACATTTTCAATACTTTTAATTACATTAATTACGGATAGATAATTCTCGAGATAATTATATAATTGCCGTTAGTACTACTTGAAAACGCATTAATTACACGGCAACACTATCTACTCATATGTACTAGCTTAAAGTAGTTGATGCTATTGGAGTACCGCCTGTTATCTCTTTTTCTCAAACGAAAATTGAAAGGGAGAGCTAGAGTCAGTGTATAATGAGTCACGCCAAGAGTGAAGCCAAGTCTACCTATTGAACTGTCAAACCGACTACCTATCGTGCAAAGTAAACAAACATTACGATGCTATGAAAGGTCCACGAAAGGTATTGCAATAAAATATAAAATAAAATTGAAGAAATGATCATAAACACGCAGTGAGCATTAAATTGTCATGGGATACGTTTGCTAATGATCAGTAATGAGAATTTCTACTATTGTTTGATAAGATAATTTGACAAAATCACTGATATAATGATTCACTACAACTGCAATTTTTTGTTCTACACGGTTAGAAAAAAGTACCCAAAATTAAGTTCTTTTCACTCATATCGGCACTATAGTGCAGGAACCCAAAAGTAGGTAAAGCGGGTCAAAGTAATTTTCATTTACTTGTGGAATTTTCCACTGTCTTTTTAACCAAAAGTAAGTTAGTTGTACCCAACAGTAGGTAAATATGATTATACTCAACGTTGGGTTCCCACACTTTACTACCTCTGTTGGGTGGTTTTGCTCCTCCGTTTTTGACAACATTAGAAGGAGAAAAGGAGACAAACTAGTCAAAAGTACACACAAAGAAAAGTCGTTTATAAAATTAAAAAAACCATTGGTAGATTTAAAAGTTTGCATTGGTTCTTTTTGGTAGAAAGCGGTTAGCTTTCAAAATAAAAGTCAACAAACCGTCAATTCAAAAGTTGTCCGCTCGATACTTTTAAAAGTTCAAATTTTCAAAATGAATTGTAGAACTGTCAAATGAAAAATATATTAGTGTTGAAATTAATGGTGGATTATTTTTGACTTGAAAATGTGGCATAGTTAAAATTAAATGGGCATTTTGAATTTAAACTAAAATATTTTCAAAAAATATTAGGTCGTATGAATAAAAGCATTTACTTTACTTTTCCCGTAAGAAAAGCACGGGAAAGTAAAGTAAACTCTTTTTATCCATTTTAGTGGATAAATATTCAATCTTCTTTATTATTATTTTTCAATAGGATAAGATCCAATTTTTTTTACATTGTTATTGTTATCTTTGTTGATGTATACGTTATTGCGTCTTGGAGCTATTCTCGCTTTGAGTAAACCTGCTACAGTAACAGGTACATGGTGATGTCACAGATGCAGGGTTAAGGACAGAAGACAACCTCCAGCATTGTCAGCAGCGTCATTGTTTACCGGCGGAGATTTTACGGCAGCGGATAGCGGAAGGAAGGTGTCAATTTAGACCGTTTTCGGTGAGGGTTTCTGTGGAATATTAATTAAATATTGTTATATACCTTTAACATCTACTGTTGTAGTAGTCGTTGAACACTCACTTTCATTCCTAGCCATCTTGTCCGCTCGCAGATGACTATTGTTTTGGTTTATCTGAAATTAATAAAAATCTCTAATTAAACTCTACTATTGTTCTTAAATTTGATCGCTTACCTGATGCGATTATTATTTTCCATGGAGGATAATTATTGTCCTTCCCAATTTTTCCTCGCTCTTCGTGACACATCTGACGTCAAGCCAAATTAAGCGGCAAAACGAGCTCCAGTGCTGCCAAAAACTTTGCCTAGAAAATGTATTTTTGACAGTTGAATAACTTTCATTTAAAAAAAAATGCACTTTTAAAATTACAAGTCGAACCTGAAAGAAACACTTTCAAACTAAAAAAATAACTTTTATTTTGAATATTTTCGTTGTAAAATTACGAAATTTATGAAACTTTTAATTTGAAATGGGATTATTTTTATTAAAACAATTTTTGTTTTTTGTGTGTAGGTAATAGTGAACTTTCCGTTGGGTACTTTTTTCTTACCGTGTAGCTAGAAGTCATTTGAAGTTGATGTAGAAGTCTTCTGTTGCCAAGTGAAAAGAAAGGGAATCCTTCGAAAACCGTGATGCGAGTTCAACTGTTTTTCTCTTGGCGTGACTCATTATACACCGACTCTAGGGAGACCCGCATAAACGCGAACCATCACATGACCTTACCGATAATGGTTATAAATTGTTTATAATCCCTGCTAAACTTCAACTGAAATGGTTATGGAACTTTACATGAACGTTTGTGTGATAAAGTTTTAACCTTATGTATTATGGTTTTTTGGAAGCGGACCTTACAAATAATGGGTTGTTAAGAACCATTACCATTCCAAATTCTTGTTTTCTCCATACATTATCGGAAAGAGAACTATATTAGAACGTTTTTACTTATGGTTTGAGAACATTAATGGTTATGGTTATGGTAGTCAGTAAGATCCATTAATGGTTTTGTATTATCGCTCAACTTTTCGTGAAATATATCGTGAATTGGTAATCAGTAATTTACAGGCAACCAATTTGCGATATATTCCACATAAAGTTGATCGATGTTACAAAACCATTCATGGACCTTACTGGTTACCATAACCATTACCATTAATGTTCTCAAACCATAAGTTAAAAGGTTTTAGTATAGTTTTGTTTCCGAAAATGTATGGAGAAAACAAGAATTTTGAATGGTAATGGTTCTTAACAACCCATTATTTGCAAGGTCCACTTCCAAAAAACTATAATACTTAAGGTTAAAACTTTATCATTAAACGTTCATGTAAAGTTCCATAACCATTTCAGTTGAAGTTTAGCAGGGATTATAAACAATTTATAACCATTTTAGGTAAGGTCAATTTATGGTTCGCGCTTATGCGGGGAGCCTGTTGTCAAACAGCATGTCATTATGCGTTTTCGTTTTTATCTGCACTTCTTTTGGGGGTGAACACTTAAGGTTAATATTTGCTTACAAGTAAACGATGTTGAACTATCAATGACTCACGCTTGTCGTCAGCAATTGTTGGTACAGATTTCATAAGTCCGTGCTTCTAACCAAAGTAACACACGGTTACCGCAAAATACCCAATAATGACTAAAACAGTAAACATGTTCGAGGGAAACTGAGACTACCCATTAAATGAGTAAAATTTTACCCATTAAATGAGTAAAATTTTACCCATTTAAGAGTAATTACTACTACAAAAATATGTAGTAAGTATTAATTTGTGAGTATCAAATACTCATAAATGGGTAACTTTTTTACTCATTTAATGGGTAGTCCCAGTCTCCCTCGAAAATGCTTACTTTGTAGTCATTATTGGGTATTTTTCGGTTACCGTTTAGTCATAGGTGCCGAGAAGACATCGTTGTTGGACGCCAAACAGGACCCGGCTATACTCGGTAGATTTTGCAAGCTAACAGCTAGTCCGCAGAACTCGTGATGGTAGTTCGTCGGTGATGGTATCACATCTTCATTTCGTCGTTGCCGGTAAATTCGAACGTCCGGAACCTAAACAAGGCCGAAATTGTCTTGCGTACATGAGTTTTCCATAATGTCAAACATCCTTCGGTAGCATTGAAATAGGTAGATCAAAAATATTTTTTTAGTAGGTCCAGCTGAGGCCTGTAAATGAATGAAGTAGGATGCTTGATTGTTTCTTTTTCAAAAAGTCTGTTTTCTTTTGGACGAGGGACGGACTTGGGGTAGAGGTTGACATCCATGCCTCTCACAATAAAGGTAACGAGTTCAAATTTCATCCCCGGACAAGTCCAAATAATCTTAAAAATTGAAAAAAAAATCTTTTTGTTGATTAAAAAATCGATTTACTTCATTACTTTGCTCATTTGCTGTAGCCTGAGTGGTGAATGTGCAATATTGATAATAATATTGAATATTGGTTTATTCCAAAAGAGTGTTTTACAGATTGGAAGTATAACATAGCCAATATCTAACTCAATGGGCACGGTTGATAGCAAATCGACAGTGAGCATGCATAAGGGCCTATACGCGATGGTCGATTCTCTTCGTCGATTTTCTCTTTTGTTAATAACTCGCTAGATTTAACGTTTCTCGGTGCGTTTGCTGTTGCTTTTGATAGCCAATACAACCTGTTACTACTCTGCATTGAACAAATTCTAGAAAATTGTTTCGCTTAGCTGTAGCAATGCAAAGAGAAAATCGATGAAGGGATTCGATCATCGCGTATTCGCCCTTATGCATGCTCACTGTCGAAATTAAGTTAGTCAAGTAAAGTAAAGTAATTGAGAATAATCATATTGAAAATTTCAAGATCAACAATTGAAATGGCCTTAACTCCATTTTGTAAACAAACCTTGTAAGGCCATTTTCTCACGAACCGAAACCTTCATTAGCAAACCTAAACCACAATCGGGTAGAGTAGAATTTGGTTTGCCTTTGCAGACTTCGGTTCGCGAGAAAATCGCCTTACAAGGTTTGTTTGCAAAATGGAGTTAAGGCCATTTCAATTGTTGGTCTTGACTTCTGAAATAACAAGCATAGACTGTTTCCCGGTTTCTGTACGATCATGCGTAAGAACACCGTGAAAACGAAAGAGTCGACTACATTCCTTCTGTCGAACCTATAGCAACGCACACGGTTCCCGCGCTGACTGTTCCTTACTTTCTCACTCTAATCAAAATTTCCTTCGATGAGTGAGAAAACAGAACCCCGAAAATGCGAGCAGGAACGCGAGTTGCCAGATCATTGCACACAAAACCAACTTGAATTAATTCAAAACAAAAATACTAACGAACCTGGCGGTGAGCGGCGGAAGGTGGACTAAAATTCTATTACAGAGAACCACATTATTTTAATTAATTTCTTCGGAGAAAGTCGTCTGTCACTTCGTTTGTGAATATTACGTTGTACGATGTACATCGATTTTGCGAACAAAATTACATCTATTGATGTAATATTGTATCTGCTTTTTGCTATTACATCATTATTTCATACATCAGCTTGAATTACGTTGATCGATATTACATTTTTTTTTGCTGTGTAGGTACTGCAGCGTGTCATCACAAATGAACTCAGTGTTTATCGGCTGAATCTTTTTGACAGTTCAGTGGTACTTTTTACAAGCACTTAGTCGTTTTTCGAATTTTTTTTTTAAATTACCGAATTTCAACTTGTCGAGGAACAGCGCAGTGAAAGGATGTTGCTCGTGGACAATGCAGAAGTGTGGTTTACATCTCACTGCAGTCTGAAAAATTATCGAGAAAATCTACCCAAGTAAAAATTAACTAAGTCCACGTTAACAGTACCACCACAGACAAACAGACGTAACTCTTTGAAAAAGTTTTTCTTGAAAACATAGTATCTCAAAACATAGGACCTCAGTAGTGACATTTTTCAGGCTTCTCGCGGAAAACAAGCTCGCTCGCTAACTCACAAACAATATTGCATAGAAGTTCTATAGAATGTATAGAAACGTCAAAGTGATCCGATGCCGGCGCTGCTGCGAGTAGTTCGCGGAACTGATAATATTCAAATCAACCGTTAAATGCGTGAACGAAGATACACAATGAAGAGTTACGTCTGTTTGTCTGTGGTACCACTGAACTGTCATCAGATTGAGGTTAACCCCGACGGTGCAAAACCTAATTGGTTAAAGTTCATGAATGTTCATGTATCCGTCAGATTTGATTTTGCCACGGCGAATGAGAACGACCGAAATTTGAGTTAAGTTCACTCATAATCGCCAAAAGTGCAGGAACTCAGCAATGAGTAAAATTTGTCTCATGGTTTCCTGTGGAAAATCTAAAAAATCTGCCGGAAAATGAGGAAATTGACGAAAATTTTATTCAGTCTCGGAGTAGTACCAATAGACTGAGTGAATCCAATCTTTACTTTTCTCAATTCCGCGAATTTTTCCCTGGAAAATCCTCGACAAACCTGGGAATACATGAGGCAAATTCACTCATCGCTCTTCGCACTTTTGGCGATTATGAGCGAACTAAACTCAAATTTGGGTTGTTCTCATTCGCCGTGACAAAATCAAATCTGACGGATACATGTTGCGCGTTGCATTGAATGTAAAATTACGTGCAACATTAGCGTCGTGATGGCATCGTGCGACACTTTTTAGTGCTTTTGTGCGGTCTTCCTTCAGGTCTTGGCTGTTGGTCCGTCCTTGCGGTTGTGTGAGTGCTCATGTAGAACGCGCAGTTAGTCCTCTAGCGATATCGCGTTTTTTCCTTTCGTTTTCCTTTGTACCTCGCTGTTTCGTGATTTTTTCTACTTAATATGGAGACTGGACTGCAAAAGCTATAAGCAGGCAGCCAGCCAAGTTAAGCCACGACCAGCCAACATAAGAATCAACCTGGAAGCAACGGAGTATAACCTGGAAATCGAAAGAACCAAAGTCCAAACAGTCCGTCGTTTTGGAGGACTTATACTATAATCCAAGCTTTGGACGGAAGAATCCAAAAAATCGTAGTGGAAAGTTTCGAGGGTTGTGTAAAGGTGTAGAGGAATAGTCCGAAAGTTACTCGAGAAGAACAGCAGCAGCAGGAGGTGGCGGAAGATTTTTTGCTGCTCAAATTGGATCTAACGCTGAAATAGCTGTCAGTGACGAAAAGAAAGATGGATTGTCCTCATATAGGTGATAATGTAGTTCTCCGGAAGGATGCAGTGAGAACCTTGAAGCTATCCGTATGTGGCGGATCTACCACATTCGCTGTGCCAGTGCCCGGAACGGGAACACCTCCAGTAGCGATTTCGAAATTGTGGAAATGTGCAGGTAATTAATATCACATGAATTGATGGCACATACATTTCTATGGAATTTGCAGAAATCTGAACCCTAGGAAAAAATGTCTGCTCAGCAATTTGCTATGTCAATTGGCTTAAAATGGACTAGACAGTTCCAAAAGAAGAGGGCAATGGCTCGTAACCTTGGAATGATTTCTTACAACTCTATCTGCATCAGTAGGAACATTTCCATTGCAGTAGCTACGCGTATTCCCCATCTTGAATCCAGGTTTTGCGCTTGGATAAACAAAAAATCGATATTACATCATAAGGCAAAATTTATTACTACTCTCGGTTCCCTTTTTCCTCTTCCATGCCACTCATTGCGAGCAGCTAGCTTTTTTTCGGGGTCTGACCCGTCGCGTGAGACCGTCAAAACGTCGTCATCGTTGCTGCGTCTCCGCCCCTCTCTATGCTATTGGTGTTGTTGATGATGGTGCTGACGATGATGACACAAAGCTATATCTCTGGTGGACTCCTAGAAGCATTGTGAACATTTTTGTAGAGTAGGTCTACGCACCCACACAGACACGCACAGATCTACCTACGTACGTATGTACACCCTGTCGAGGTGGGATGAACATCAGCTAGGAAGGGGGAGGCGAAAATGTATATTTTATATAAAAATGTATTCTCCGTCGAACCGGAGAGCGCAGAGGCAGTCAGTCCACATCTTGATCGTAGCGCGTGTGAGAGTAAAATGATAATGAAAATGGAAACAAATAAGGCGAGAGTGGAAGCGCTCGTCTATGTACCGCAAGCTTTCTACTTGCTCAATGCGTCCATACCGATGGAAGAGAATCTAAAGCAGGGCCACCAGTTTGTCTCACAAAATTGTTCTCAACGTTTCAGTTGAATAGGCAGCTACAAGCATATGAATCAGTAGGGTCTATACCGTTTTCTGGAAAATAGTCTCACTTAATTTCCCAGAAAATTATTTGGCAGAGTGACCTAATTTCCGGCAAAAACATTTTCCTGACTGACCTATTGAAAAAAAATAAAGTATTTTTATAAGTTTGGTCATGCATACGGGGTTAAGGTCTATCGGGTAGCTTTTGAGGTTTCTTCCCCCTTAGAAGCATACAAAAAATAACAAATATAGTTTTCGGATAATAAATGCTGAATCCTGATGAATGTGGGCGTCTTAGTGGAATACCTGTATAATGAGAGAGAGAAGCCTCTCTTTTGTTACATATTCGATTAACGGAAAACATATTATGCGTAGTTTCCGATAGATGTCACCGCAAACAACAGCAGTTTAATCATGGTTGATTAAATTTAAAGTAATCTTGTTTGAATGAATTTTAATCTTTTTTGATTTAATTTTAATGATTTTTGATTGAATTTTTATCTCTTTTGACTGAATTTGAATCATATTTGATTATATATTAATATTCTAAAAGAATAAAATTTATTACTGCAAAGATAAATTTTTATCACTAGTGATTATTTCGAGTTTAATCATGCATGACTACTGTCAAAGATATCTAATTTACAAGATATCCCAATAATCAATTCCTCGAACAAGGCAATGGAGACACCACCCTTATGTGATCGCAGTGCCATCTGGTGAGTGCACATTAAAACTGTTGGAAGGCTCCCGCCAGTTAAACCACCAGGGCTCAATAAATAGGTGCCCTATAGCAGGTTCCAGTATGACAGATGCCAGCTGGGACGTTGATGATCAGCCGAGGAAAGAGGACGATATCATCCTCGATGTCATCTTCATTATAATGCGATAGGTCTTTTTAATGCACCACCAATGTAGAGTGCGCCAGGCGAGTTCGAGAGGAAACGTCAACTAAACCGTTTGTATACATCAGAATAAGGATTTTCACAACGCAAATTACAGCATTTTTCATTGAAAATATTGTAAATTTCCACCTGTAATTGTTTAATTATACGATTTTCCACATATCTGAACTAATTTACACCTAAATTATTCACACACAAGAAATCCGGATGATCATAACCACTAAGGCACTATTATAATTTTCCATTTTTCTCAACAAAAATATTTCTGAACACTAGCAGCATCCTTGCAAAAATGATACAGAATTAAATTTTTCAACTGTAGATCAAGTGTTGGAGCATCTCAGATGAATCAATTTATCAGGAAAAAGTGAAAAAGTGTTCCGCTTTCTATGTCTCACGGCAAAAAATTCTGCTCACAACACTCTTTTTGAAAAACTTTGCCAAAGACATTTTTCTTTATTTCGTCAGGAACTAGTGATGTATCACATGCGAGAACTTAACATGTATACGAGCACTACCTAGTGAGAAGATTTTGAACTACTGTTAATCAGTAAAAAAGCTATGATCTCCTGAACAGCTTTGGCTAAGACAGTAACTTTCTATCTGGTCAGGATCTCGAGATATTTTATGAGAATTTCACGTTTATACTAGCGCCGTGTAGTGAAAAAATTCTGAACTACTGTCCACCAGCCAAAACTACTTGACACCCTGAACAAGTTTGCCGAAGACAGTAACTTCTATCTGCTCAGGATCTCGAGCTATTGTATATGCGAAAATTGCATGTATATATTAGCGCCACGTAGTGAGAATTGTCTGAACTACTCCACTAACGAAAAGATTATGATCTCTAGAACAACTTTGCCGAAGACAGTAATTTTCTATCTGGTCAGGATCTCGAGATTTTAATGTGCCTCATGATAGGTTATTATCCAAGTCCGATTCTGGTCACTTTCCCGGGGCACCTGGAACTTTTCCGGAAGTGGCCAATATGGTCCAAGGTACTTAATTTTTTTCCACCATTGATCTGGTTATCGAATTTTGATATAATCTGATGTGTCGCATGATAGGTTATTATCAAATATATTATATTAACAATATGATCCACTCTTTCGCTTAGCTGGCGAATTTTTAGCAATGAAAGCACCTCTGTGGCCAAAAAGGCTACCAATGTATTTGTTTATCTTCACGAGGGGTAAACCAAATGAAAATTAGAAAAATATTTTAGATGTATGTATTTTAGCATATAAAACCATTTGATGCCAACAGTGACACGTAAGACAAATGTTCATGTAATATGCAAAATGTAATTAATTAAAAGAATTTTACTTTTACTTTTGTAATAAGCACTATATTTGCTCCCCTCGTTTGTAATTGGATGGATGCTGCTGACCCTTTTCAACGCTAGATGGTGGGTGAAGCAATATGTTTCGGGTCGCCATTGCAATCTGTGGAAAAGGCATGGTTAATATGATATATTTGTTATTATTCAAGTCTGGTTCTGGCCACTTTTCTGGAGGCACCCGGAACTTGCCCGAAAGTGGCCAATATGGTCCAAGCTACTTAATTGTTGCCACCATTGATCTTGCTATCAAATTTTGATTTAATTTGATGTGTCGCTTAATGGGTTTTGTTCCTTTCAAGTCAAATTTAGCCTCATGGCCCATAAACGCCGGAACTTGTTCCGGCCATATCTACAAAACCAGTGGTCCTTCAATAGCGTTCAATGGGACCACTAAAAACATTAAATGAGACCACATAAGACCAAAAAAAAAATTTTTTTTTATGGCTCGATTATCCGGAGTTTTTTTTTCTCAAGACTCCGGATAATCGAGTCCGCCCTGTATTCACACACAGCAAATCCGGAAGATCATAACCACTAAGGCACTTTTCTAATTTTTCATTTTTCTCAACAAAAATATTCCTGAACACCAGCAGGATCTTTTCCAAAACGTTACAGAATTAAATTTTTCAACTGTAGATTAAGTTTTGCAGCATCTCAGATGAATCAATTTATGAGGAAAAGTAAAAAAGTGTTCCGCTTCCTATGTCTCAAGGCAAAAATTTATGCTCACAACACTTTTTTTGACGTTCTCCTATTCATCACCAGAGGTTGAATCGATCGTTTAGTTTCTATTAAAAAGGCCTATTATTTTTTCTATATTATATGTCTATTGAGTAGTCCTTAGGTTTTCTACTAACGTAGCATTAACCAGATTTAAATAAAATGCTCCATTTGCAAAATAAAAGCATTTTAAGATTGCACTCGTACACCGTGTATAATTTTGAAACCATCATCACTCTCATAGTTCTTCTATTCTCCACGATTGCCAACTTTGATTTGCCAATGCTTTAGGGTGAAAATTTCCACCCTCATCACATCCCGCTAGAGGTTGAAACAATCGCTTAGTTTCTATTGGATTCGCCTATAGAAACTAAGCGATCAATTCAACTTTGATTTGCCAATAGGAAGAGGGAAATATTTTCACCATTCCTGATTAATTTATCCACCGCAGGTGCTTGAAATCATCATTCACGTGAACATTTTGTTGGCTTTTTTAATACGCCACCAATTAGAGGGCGCCAGGCGAGTTCGAGAGGAAACATCAACCAAACCGTTTGTTTACATCAAGATGAGGAATTTTCACAACGCAAATTAAAGCATTTATCATTCAACATCTTACCAATTTCCATCGATAATTGTCTTACTTTACGATTTTACACCGATCTGAACTGATTTGCACTTCAACTATTCACACACTAGAAATCCGGAAGATCATAACCCTAAGGCACTGTTGTAATTTTACATTTTTCTCAACAAAAATATTCCGGAACACCAGTAGGAACCTTGCAAAAACGATACAAGATTACATTTTTCGACTGTAGATCAAGTTTTGAATCAAAGTTGGCACTCATGGAGAATAGACGAACCACAGACAAACAGACATAACACATTGCATATTTCTCACTGTAAAACATCGTCGCTAAAACATTATCACCATCTGTTGAGTACACTGTGGTGGGTAGTACGCTGAACACATGGCGGTAGTGTGTAAACGTCAAACGCAAGGGAATTGACTATGCGCGCCACAGGTGTTTGTCTGTGGAAGAACTATGAAAGTGATGATGGTTTCAAAATTTTCCACGGGGAGGTATACGAATGCAATCTTAAAATGCTTTTATTTTGCAAATGGAGCATTTTATTTAAATGTGGTTTCTGCTACAGTGGTAGAAAAGCTGAAATCTATGTATACACTTCAAAATCTGAAAATTAATTATTCTTTCTATATTATATTTCTATTAAGTAGTCCTTAAGTTTTCTAGTAGTGTAGCATTAACCATATTTAAATAAAATGCTCCATTTGAAAATAGAATCATTTTAACATCGAGAGCTGCCTCCCTGGCGTCGGTAGCATTGGTGCTCAGCACGGAAAAGAAATCAAGGAAAAAAAAAATTAAAACGTTTCATCGATCTGTGCGTCTTATTACACCCGATAGAAATCTATGTTACTATTCAAAAATCCGTGGAAATGACTGATTTTTTTTACATTCTCGTTATCTTTTTTTCCAATATGTTGAGACAAATCAAAACGCATCCAAAAAATATTTTTTTCAAGTCAGTAAGCTTTCCGTTAACTACATATTTAGGAATAGTTTTTGCTGACCTCCTGCTGAAATCGAAAAAGGTGTTTTAATATGAAAAAGAATAGTTGGCACTTGAGCCACCGTTCATACTGGCAACATTGAAACGAAGTTTGCACTCACTCCGCAAAGAGGGCTCAATGTAGTTGTGCTGTGCATCAGTTGTTTCTCTAAATTATATAAATGAGATTGTGGCGAGGTAGGCCAGGTTGTAGCTTGCAAGTAGCAACATTCTAGATAGAGCTGGAATTAGGGCGTAACAGCTTTTGTAAACAATGACTTCTCTCGATGATTTCTCGGAAGCCATGGCTCTTCCTGGCAAATCAACATCACCATCGAGTAGAGGAAGACTTCTCCTACCCGATGGATATATTGGTTTGTGTAGGCATGCCTTGAATTCCGAGAAATCAATGAGAGAAGTAATTGTTTACAAAGGCTGTTACGCCCTAATTCCAGCTCTATCTAGCATTTATCATGTTACTACGACGATCTTCTGATGTTTTTTTTTTAATAAAAAAAACATCTATTTTGTTAGTTTTCTATTTAGCATATTCACAGCTTTGGCTTCTATGGCTGTGCGTAGTGTGAACATAGATATGTGTTTCCAATAAAATTAGATCCAAAAACAAGAACATTGGAGTTTATTTTATTTAAATAATAGCTTTATTGGTTGGAACACTACTTGTCCGTCACAATCACTTCCCCTTCCGCAAAGTTCATTAGATGCGCGCGTATTATGTTCTTTATCCGTGGCATGCTTGGAAGAGCCTCTCCACCACTGTCTACGGTATAGACTCTTCCATTTAAATCACATTGAATGGTGGGAATTGCTTTTGTTTCATTTTATGTCTTCCCTTCCCTTCCCTCGTGATTTCGCGAATGCTTGTTTTAATACACTGGTTAGTTTTTATTCATCATATGATTTCTCAATGAGTGGTAGTGTGAGACTACGAGAGCGAGAGCGAACCTAAGCTCTCACCCATATCCAGGGGTGCCAGCTTTTGTTTAAAAAAATCTGGCTAAATCCGGAAAAAAAAGTCTGGCAAAAGTTTGGCACAGAAAGTATTTAACATAGGGAATTGGCCGATTTATCAACGTATCAATATATTGACGCGAAAGGATATTATTGATAATAATATTGATGGTGTGAACACAGAAATATTGTCAATACCGATGTATTGACGTCAAGAATGTATTGACAATACGATTATTGTGAATAAAAGCAATCGTGTAGGGTCCACTTAACTATATTCAGGAGGGAGAACAGAGAGTATTTCCCTCTCTCTCTCTCTCTCTTCAGCGACGCCAAGCTTTTATAAAGTGTGATATCAATTTTATCGGCAGTGCTGACAGACTCTTCGATTGCAAATAAATATATGTTTGTATTCTTTATTAAAAAGGCTTTCAGCTTAGGACTGGTTTGCCTCTGAAACAGCAAATAAATAGCCAATCTAGTTGATTGGTGTTGGCTTATACTAGTATTCATACGTTATTTCCGTTTTGTAGAATGTTCCGGCAAAGACAACTGGATGTGTTTGCAATGTGGATCGGTTCGCTGTGGACGATACGAGAATGGGCACGCCTTGAAACATTCATCGAAACAGAACCACAACATTTGTATCAACACGGTTAACCTGTCGGTTTACTGGTAGGTATGACATGTAGGTTGAATTGAGACGTCAAATAATGGAAATAATGAAATTTGAACGATCTGGTAGATTTACGTGAAAGGATCCAACAATGTTTGCCTTAATATTATCTATCCCCTATCTTCATTCCACAGCTACAAATGTGACGAATTCGTAGTAAATGATACGGCTGACAACGTGCTAGAGGAAATCCGTCAGGAGCTGAAGGACGGCGACGGGGACACCGTGTCGGAAACTTCATCCACAATGGAAGAGATCAGTTCGTCCAAATCAACCCAGGAAACCGCCAGCAGTACGTCGTCGTCCAGTGATTCCGGCTGGGAAGAGCCTTCGACAGCTTCATCCGTGTCGTCCACCACCTCCGCGTCCTCGTCCAGTGCCCGAAAGTTGCGGCCCCGCAAGCGAACGATCTCAAGCGACAGCAACAACGAAAACGGAACGGCAGGTGGTGGTCAGGGTGCCAAGCGGAAGTCGTTGCGACGAGTCGTGGGTTTGCGGAATCTGGGGAACACATGCTTCATGAATTCAGTATTACAATCGCTGAGTAACATCCAGGAGTTTAGCTGCTACTTCAACACAATGCCCTCACTCGAGACTGGTAAACACAAGCAGAAAGCGTACCATTCCCGCAGCATGAAGGAGAACCTAGATGACGTGTTTGTAGTGGAAGAGTTGCGCAAGGTCGGTAGGATTGTGGCGCAGATTGAGATGATTTTTTGAAAACGGCTCTATATCGTTCGTTTTTTTAGGTTCTGTTAAATCTAAGCCAAGGAGGCGATGGGTCAAAGGGTGCCATCTCGCCAGAGTGTTTATTTTTGGTAATCTGGAAGGTGGTACCGCAGTTCCGGGGCCATCGTCAGCACGATGCCCATGAGTTTCTGCGCTACATGCTGGATCGACTGCATACCGAACTACAGCAAGTATCGTTTCCGGTGGAAATTTCCAGTCCATTGGCGCAGAGAGCAGGCGAAACCAAAACTAACCCATACAACGTACCGGCACTCAGTCACTTGCAGTCGAAGGGACGTAACTCGATCGTGACAAATGTCTTTGGCGGTGTACTACAGAGCGAAGTACGTTGCCTGATCTGTGGCATGGAAAGCAAAAAGCACGACCCGTTCCTGGATCTATCGCTGGACATTCCGGAGAAGTTTTACAACAAGGATCCACCGGAAGGTGGCGAAAAGGATAAGGATGGAAACGCACCGGTTTGCAACATTTCCGACTGTCTGGCTAGTTTTACAGAAGTATGATCAATTAGTGGTTGGTGGGTGTCTATGATAGAACACGGTCTTATTGTTTTTTTTTTGTTACAGGTTGAAGAACTCACTGAAACAGAACTGTATTACTGCAGCTCGTGCAAGTGCAAACAAAAGTCCACCAAAAGATTTTGGATCCGGAGATTGCCGAACGTTCTATGCCTGCACATAAAGCGATTCAGATGGAACAACTTCTACAGGTACAGTATAAACAGTAAACACATTTTGTAATTCTTCACTTCACCCATGCCGAAAAAGTCGTGTAATTGTACATAGAATTGACGAACAAGTGTTGTGACCCAGGCTGCGCTACAAATTCTTCGTAAGTGTGTTCATCTCATCTGGGAAGCTTTCGTATTGTGCCTGCCTCCACAGAATAACTTCCACAATCTGAAACTCCTCTTGTTGAAGTGGTTTCTTGTCAGTCGAATATTCCGTCGTTGACGATTCGTAGATTGGCAGGTCACGATTTGCAACCCGGCCTTTTTCCCTGGCGATTGGAGTCGAAAAGCAGTACGGCTGCCGTCATACGCACACATTTTGTCCAACTGGAAACATTTTCCGCTTCGACCACCACGGTTTCTTCGATCGATTCGGAAGACGGCCATTGATCGCTCGATTAGTACAGCACTGAAGGGCCATGAATCCATTCCGAATCGTTTTGCAATGGAGGACCGCGACCACACTTGGTGAGTCAGCCGCCAGAGATGCTGTATGATAACCTTGCCATGAATCGTGAACGGTGACAATAGTCCGAGGAGATCGAAAACACCCATCACGCAACTTAGGACGATCCGCTCACTTTCGTACAAATACTCTAACACTTCGAATACGATGCCTCCGAAAAACGTGTAACGGCAAGTTTGCAATGGCACAACTTAGCCATTTCTTAATGAATTTCAAAAAATGTAGTACCTTCAGAATTCCTGTACACTGCAAATAAAATTCACGTAATATTCACCTGAAAAGGTATGTAGATATTTTCCATCTTACTTTTCATGTGAATATTACGTGTTTTGGGAATGAAATCCTGTTCAAATGATGCATATAAAAATCAAGTGATTTTCACGTAAATTTTATCGGATCTACAGATAATATTCAAATTGGCGACACTTAAAAATTACGTGAATTTCCAAGTAAGTTTCACAGGGTTTTACAGTTATGTTTAAGTGAAATTGTGGTAAATTTCGATTTATTTTTTTCATGAAGTCTATGAAGCTAATTATTTTGGTAACAGATTTATTTTTAAAGTGTTTTATTAAAATAAAATTTGTCTTTAATTGATGCACCACCATTTCATGATTTCACTGGATTTACTGCCTATTTTTTCCTAATCCTGGGGTGGAACTGCTTCTAGAAAGACTTACATTTTTTACTTTAGGAATGGATTTCAAATTCTGGGAGCTGGGTATTTTCATTAAGATCGTTGATTTCTGTATAAGAGAATAGAAAGCGAAAATTGATCATTGTTCTATTTTTTTCTTTAAATGTAAATATTTGATGCATACCATTAATTTTAGCCAGGAACTGATGTTCTGGAAGCTTTCAAAAATCCCCCGTTTACTGGAATAATCTTGTAGCTCGTAATTTGAAATTATGAGTAGCCCAAATAATCTGATCCTGCATTCGCTTTTTCATTTCTGGATTAATAAAACTTAAGATTATTTTCTGGATTCCAATGAATGTAAAAAACTGGGCTTGTCTGGCAATCAAAATCTTCCAACAATGGGGAATGAAAGTTGATGATCTATTGTAGTATATCCCGTGTCCTTAGTTTAGTGCATGTCGTATTACTCCATCACTATTGAGAAATGATGAAGTATTCGGTTTTGATACAGTTGTCATTCTTGCCTTCATCGCAAGGAATCGATTCTAACTGAAAGGTTCCGCTATTTATACCCTTCGGAGTTGGAACACCCTCCAAAGGCGCGCCCCTTTGTCAGTCAAAATTGGATTCCTTAACAACAAAAACAAGCTATAACACCGATAATGACCATGCATCAGAACCCTAGTCTTAACCACTTCAAACTAGGGAACAACGATTAGAAGATTAGGAATCACATAGATGAAGACTAACTAACTCATTTTTCCCTTGTTTCAAGATCATCCTCGGTCCAGGCAACCCGAGGACTTATCACTATCAACAAGGCATAACAAGTAACAAGGACTAAGATGTGTTCCTTCGATTACTGAAAAATCCTGTTCCCCTAGTTTGAAGAAGTTAGGACTAGGAATCGGTGGTAGATCTTACATCCCGTAACGTACCACGAAAAGGTGATCTACCCACGTTACGGGGCAACTTAAGAGGTTACGCACAGAACATTTTTACACTATGAGATCACGGAAAATTTACGTGAATTTCACATAACCTTCACCAGCATGACACATGGACTCGACCAGTAAATCCAGTAAATTTCATTAACATGTTGTTGAATTTTACGTGTAGCATGTAAATTTTATTAGATTCTTGTTTTTAAGAAGTCACCTGAATTTTCAGGTAAAAATTACGTTTGTTATGGGTTCAGTGTAGTACAGTAGATGATTTTGATTGTAAAAAGCTTGAAAATAGAGTCGTCTACTTTTTTAAAAAGCGAAAAGAGTTGTTACACGTTTTTTTTTTTAAAGGTGTGTTTGTAGGGTTTTGCAAGTGGTGCAAAATTTGTAATTTAGATTAATGGGCACAAATGTTCACAATTAGCCAGAATACAGTCTTGGTGTGGATCCTGGAGACAACGGGACGGTCCTCGAAAAATCCGGAACATCTGTAAAAGTGGTCAATCTATGAACCTGATGCGGTTTTTTTGAAAACATTAGGAATTGTGATATAAAACATATTTGGGGTCGTGACATATACATGGACCTGGAAGGCCATCGGACCGTCCAGCGGGAGATCCGGAACATCCGTAGAAGTGGTAAATCGACGATCCTGATCCTAGAGCTCCGCTTTTTTTTAAACATTAGGAACTGTGATGATAGAAATAATTTGGGGTTGTGACATAAACATGAATCTGGATGTCCATGGAACCGTCCTACGGAAGATCCGGAACATCCGTAAAAGTGGTCAATCCATGAAACTGATCCTAGAGCTCCGCAGTTTTTTTTTTTTAAACACTAAGAACTGAGATGATAGAATGAATTTGGGGTCGTGACATAAACATGAACCTGGATGTCCATAGGACCGTTCTCCGGAAGATCCGGAACATCCGTGAAAGTTGAAAATTCACGAAACTGATCCTAGAGCTCCGTGGTTTTCTTGAAAACGTTAGAAACTGTGATATTAGAATGAATTTGCCGTCCTCCGGAAGATCCGAAAAATTCGTAAAAGTGGTCAATGTATGGAACTGATCCTAGAGCTCCACGGTTTTTTTTTTCGAAAACACTTGGAACTGTCATATATAAATTAATTTGCGGTCGTGACATAAACATGTACCGAGAAGGCCATGGGACCTATAGTCGCTATATAGCGGAACCAATAGAGCAAATCATGACTCACAACAGAAAAGAGCACATCCGAGAGCACATCAGCAATTGCGAACAAAACCTCGGAAACCCTTTTCTCGTGACTCAAGGCTCGCCTACGTAATCTAATACCATTTTTGGGTTGGGGAAAGTTTCCCCTATCCGATGATGTTGGTAATTTGCGTTCGATTTGCGAGGAAAGAATAATCAACGTTTTGTTTATAAAAGTTGATAGTACCTTTTCAATTGTTGGTCTAAAATATATTGAATTGGTTCCGCTTTCTAATAGATCGCAATTCTATCCGCCAGACTATGAATATAGCGACTATAATGGGACCGTCCTCCGCAAGATCTAGAACATCTTTAAAAATGGTCAATCCTCAAAACTGATCCTAGAATTCTACGGTTTTTTCGAAAGCATGTGGAACTCCGATATAAGAAAGAATTTGGGGTCATAACATAAATATGGACCCAAATTCCATGCGGCCATCCTCTGGTAAGTCCCGAACATCCTTAAAAGAGGTCAATCAATGGAACCGATCCTAGAGCTCCGCAGTTTTTTTTTCAAAAAACATTAGGAACCGTGATATAAGAATGACATAAACATGTACCGTCCGGAAGATCAACAACATCCGTAAAATGGTCACTCCATAAAATTGAGAGGCGGAAGCAGTACTATGACGAGCACCTCAACGGTGATGCAGCAGAAAACGACAACAGACCTTGGAGCACGCGCAGAAGACGACAGGCTACCGGCCCCTGATCTTCAAGAAGTTGAGGAGGAGATCGGTCGGCTGAAGAACAACAAAGTAACTGGTGTAGATCAACAACCAAGTGAGCTATTGACACTCCGAATACGATGCCTCCGAAAAACGTGTAACGGCAAGTTTGCAAAGGCATATCTCAACTATTTCTTGATGAATTTAAAAAATTGAGGTATCTTTAGAATTCCTAAGGTCTGTAGATTATTTGATTGTAAAAACATTCGAAAAGAGTCGTTACACGTTTTTAAAGTGTGTTCATGGCTTTTGCAAATGGTTTAAGACACAATCGAAGTGACAGACGGAGCGGCTCGAAAACTTTGGTGACGCACCTACTATTGCAATTTTTCAGTGTACCACATGGCAACACCACTACTACTGGATTGTACCACATGGCAACACCACAACTACTGGATCGAACTAGCATTTTCACCAAATGTACTAGAATGTTTTGGTTCTATCTCTTTCACTCTACTCAAAACTGAAATGTATAAAAAAAATTACAAAATGATACACTCTTTGCACACTGTCAAAGAATCATTGTACACAAAATCAACTTTGAGCAAAATTAAAACAAAAATACTATCCCATCTGGTGGATGATGGCACAAGCTTCTAAGAAAATTCTATAACAGCGAACCACATTATTTTAATTGATTTCTTCGCCAGTTAGTCGTCTGTCACTTCGTTTGTGGTTTAAGATCTATAATCTACATTAATGGGCACAAATGTTCATAATAAGCTAGACTACCTTCATGGTTCCTATACATGGATCGTGGAGAACGGTCCTCCGGCAGATCCGGAACCGTAAAAGTGGTCAATCCACGAAACTGAGCTTGGAGCTCCGCGTTTTTGTTTTAAACACTAGGAACTGTGATATAAGACAGAATTTGTGTTCGTGACAAAAACATGGAACTGGATGGTCATAGCATAGAGGTAACTCTAAGACCACTGGGTCCCGAAGAAAATCATTATTATTTTTGGCTCACTCAGTACCAGAACAACGGTCCCAAGCAGTCCCAAGCTATTTCACTCACCCCTGCATGTTCTGCATGAATCCACACACCCCTGATGTTATCTGTCAAACTTTCATAGCGAATCAAAACAAACATAGTGTAGTAATAGAATTTCAACTAGAATAGGGTACGTTAATCGTTTGCTTGGGACCAATAGGCTACTAAAGTGGTGAGCCAATTTAAAATCGTTAGTTTCGTATTGATTGTTGGTCATAGGCCCGTCCTCCGGAAGATACGGAAAATCCGTAAAAGTGGTCCAGTGGTTTCTTATATCACAGTGTTTTAAAAGAATTGCAGAGCTCTAGGATCAGTTTCAAAGTATGTTAAATTTACGGATGTTCCGGATCTTTTAGAGGACAATCCCATGGTCGTCCGGATCCATGTTTATGTCACGACCCTAAATTCTATCTTAAATCGCAGTTCCAAGAGTTTTCGAAACAGAAACAGGCAGGTCGCCTTCTACTTGGTCGATCCACCTTGCCCGCTACGCGCCTCTTCTTCTTGTTCCTGTCGGGGCGCTTTCGAGAACCATTTTCACTGGGTCGTCGTGCGGCATTCTTAGCTTTCTTGTATTCGCCTAGCCCACCGTAGTCGCCAAATTTTAGCAATGTGGACGATGGATGGTTCTCCCAACAACTGGTGCAATTCGTGGTTCAATCGCCTCCTCCACGTTCCATCATCCATCTGCACTTCACCGTAGATGGTACGCAACACCTTCCGTTCAAAAACACCAAGGGCCGTTTGTCCTCCACGAGCATAGTCACGGTTTCGTGGCTGTAGGGGACCACCGGTCTAATTAGCGTCTTTTAGATAATCAACTTCGTGGCGAATTTGTTTCGACCGGAGCGTCCTCCGGAGTCCAAAGTAGGCCAATTCCCTGCCATAATGCGTCTTTGAATTTCTCTGCTGGTATCAATTTCGGCGGTCACCAGTGAGCCCAAATATACGAACTCATCGACCACCTCGATTTCGTCACCGTCAATCTGAACTCTGGGTGGGAGGCTAACATTGTCTTCCCTAGAACCTCTTCCTTTCATGTATTTTGTCTTCTATGCATTGATGGCAAGTTCAAATGAACGTTTCCGCCATCGTCTCAAAGTTCCATGCCATGATGTCGATGTCATCGGCGAAGCCAAAAAGCTGGGTGGACTTCCTGAAGATCGTGCCACTAGTGTCTATCTTAGCTCTTCTGATTACACCTTCTAATGCGATGTTGAATAGCAGACACGAAAGTCCATCACCTTGCCTTAACCCCCTTCGAGATTCAAAGGGACTCGAGAGTGTCCCCGATACTCGAACAACGCATATCACTCGATCCATCGTCGCCTTGACCAATCGCGTCAGTTTATCCGGAAATCCGTACTCGTGCATAATTTGCCATAGCTGATCTCGATCGATTGTGTCGTATTCGGATTTGAAATCGATGAACAAATGATCATGAACGTTGTATTCGCGGAATTTCTGTAGAACCTGCCGAATCGCGTAAAAACTCTCTTGCAAATGGTGACAGGCGGCGGCATAGAATTTAGGAGAGTAACTTGTAGGTGGCGCCTCAGCAGTGTGATCGCGCGGTAGTTGCAGCAATTCAACTTGTCGCCCTTTTTGTAGATTGGGCATACGACACCTTTCATCCACTCCTCCGGAAATATCTCCTCCTCCCAAATCTTGACAATTACCCAATGCAGCGCTCTAGCCAGTGCTTCACCACCGTATTTTAATAGCTCACTTGGTAGTTGGTCTACACCAGTTGCTTAGTTGTTCTTCAGCCGACCTATCTCCTCCTCAACTTCTTGAATATCAGGGCCCGGTAGCCTGTCGTCTTCTGCGCGTGCTCCAAGGTATGTTGCCGTGCCACCTTCGTTTGCTGCTGCATCACTGTTGAGGTGCTCGTCATAGTACACTTACCCTTACAGATATTTAAAATTACCCACAACTCTGAACTTTTTCAGAAGTTTCAGAACATCTTAAAAGTTTCTGTAGTTTTCCTGAAGCTAATGGAACCGCATTAAAACTCTGTTAACTGAATACAAGTATAGCTTCAGTTCCCCTAGAATTAAAGTAGCCCCTTCTAGAATTGTAACTACAATTACTTATTTTCCTTACACATCCAAATTGTTCGCTATTTGCCTAATTGACAAATTCGAAAACATTAATTTGGATTTTTCCTTAGTTACGCCAATGAGTATTTCCCGATTCCCAGGACTTTCCGGGATTAGCCATCAGCTTTTTCTCGAATTCTGGTTAGTCAAAAACGATGAGGAAATGGAAATGTTAGTCGAAAGAGTATCAAACATAAGTTGAATAATTTTTAAGATATGTAAATGATTAGGCGATAATCATTTTGATTATTTAAAAAAATCGGTATTCATCGGTATAAAATCTCTAAAATCAGTATTCTGAGAAACTTTATCTGTATATCGGTATTAAGTTCGAAAATCGCTATATCTGGCAACGCTGCTTAGGGTGGACATCTTTCCCCGTCTACCGCTGCAACAAAAATTGGTAAATTGCAATATTTTTTTTCCTTTCAGAACCAAAATCGATCTGAGGATATCGTTTCCGATAAACGCCCTGGACATGTCACAGTTCGTGCTAAACAATGGCCCGGAAACGAGACGTTCGAATTCAAGCTGTAACGTGTACGATCTGGCGGCTGTAATCGTGCATCATGGCAATGGGTAAGCTTACACCTAGGTTCCTATCGCTATAGCTCTGTTGCTAAATTATATCCACTTTCCCCGCCGCTCTTCAGATCTAGCTGCGGTCACTACACCTCCTTTGCGATCAACAACGGTGTGTGGATGCATTTCAACGACCACTCGGTGAAGGAAGTCAGCAGCAGCGCGGTGGCCGAGTGCAAACCGTACATTCTGTTCTACATCAAACGGGATCCGACCAACACCAGCCGACTGGCGACGACGGCATCCGGTGGACCTGCGGCGACCGCGTCTTGAGATTAAGTTATTCTTCTTTTAAGACTGATTAATATAGAGCGCATAGCAAAAGGAAAACAAAACAATAGAAGCAGACTGGATGCAAACAAAACCAACAACAACAACAACAACAGTCACAGAGAATGCTCTTCTTCAAGTTGCAGAATTCTGGTTCTTATTCGAATTGTGGAGATTAATGTTCTGGAAAAGTGCAAAATTCGCCAAACAAAACCGAGGGATGTAATAACGTACACATTACTAGCAAAAATATTAGCAAACCAAATGCAAATTGTCAAAGCAGATGTTCAAATCTAGTAGCAAATTACCTACATGGGGTGTGTTAACCTCCGAGTCGTTCCTTGGTTGTGATCCACTTCAAGTTCGGTTTTTTTTTATGAAATCCCTTCGAATCGTAGCTCCCACACCCACGCGGAATGATTAAATTGTGATAGATTGAAGCATTTTAGCATCCTATAATCTACTTCTAACACTTGTAGAATTGTGTAAAACATGGCTCTCCAATTGGAAGAGAGAGCGAAAGTGTACCGTTTCCTTTTCATGTTCTCATTGTGGAAAAAAAATGTGATTTCGAGATAGGAAACTTTTCGTCAGATTCCAGAGTTTTTTCTTTATATTAGGTTATTTTTGCATCAATTAAGAGATTCTCAAAGAGGCCGCTGCGTTTTTTGTGATTTTTTTTTTTATTTCTTAGGTTTAGATTAATTGTACTATTTTTTTCTTAAGGTAGCGCTCCCATCCCCAGTCCAATTAGCAACACTATAATTGCTGGCTCAATGCAATGTTATTTTCATGCTGTGAAAATTTTAAGAAAAAAAGTGTCCCAAAAATGTCTTTATTTTGAAATAAAAATCGTGAAAATATCCCAATCTAGTGTAGACTTTATTTTAGCCATTCAGCTGCGTTTGGTTTCCGGTGGTCAGCAGCAATGCAGCGAGGATGATTAATGACCCATATTCCCCGTGGCCGTGATTATGTTCGCTCCAAATTACTAAACATAGCGTTTTGGGATTTATTCTTTTCTCTGAAAAACAAAACCCAAACAATAATAACACACAGTGCGTTCGTCTTTGGAAATAATGCTAATAGGTAAATGCAAAATATCATAACACATACACTTACAAAAGAAACAAAAGTAAAAACAGCAACAGTTGAAACAAATGAACCTACTATGAAGGTTGAGCAACAGAGTACGAAAATTTAATTATATTAATAAAATTAATATATTAAGAAGTGAAATTTCTCTAGCTATCCATATGAAAAATGAAAATAAAGTATAAAAATAATTAAGGCTTGTGTTTTTTTTTTACCAAAGCTGGAAAGGAGCAAATGCCGCAGAGGCCCATTCTGCCCCACGAGTGAGATGATGTAACAATAGTCACCTCCTGTGAGGTGACTTCCCAATTGATTTGCACGGAGAAGGGAGTACTACAAAAGGCCGAATCGCAAAAGGCCGAAATACACAAAAGGCTGAATCACAAAAGGCCAAATCACAAAAGGCCGAATCACAAAAGGCCGAAAAAACTCGGAAAAGCGACAAAGTGGACCGGTGCGAGCGCGCGCGCTCGGTCGCTTTTCCGAGTTTTTTCGGCCTTTTGTTAATTTGTTTTTAATAAATTAAATTTCATTTTTAAAAGTGAAGTTACAATAATTATTATTCTGCATCTTCGATTTAAAATATAATGGAAGCTACTTAATAGCCATTCGATTTCCGTAATGAAATTTAAAAAAAAAAACTTAAAATTTGGGTAGTTTTATGTTTATGTTTGTTTGAGTGTGTAACGACGATTTAATGACAAGATGGATTCGTTTTTTTGTGAATGCGGACCATTCAACGAGGTGGCTCAGTTGTAAGAGCAGAAAGGCTTCAGATGCTGCATGAGAGAGAAAGTGATAGTTAGCTTTATTTTTTCGGATGTTTGAGTATTCAATGAGGTGGCTTCGTTGAAATTCAATATGGGAGGTATTCTCAAATCGAAAATCGTCATTAGCAGCGATATGGCTCTTGGTAAGTTTTGCTGAACGTTCTAGTTACTTACATTCAACTGCTTGCACAACTTGCCACCCAATAAGAATGTTGCGTATGCGTAAATAAACCGTTCACCTCTGTCGCATCTCTTATTTTCTTACCAGCAGCTTACCACTTACTGGTTTTTCACAAAAAGTCAGCAAGTGAGAACACCTCTATATCTATTTTCATCTTGGCTTCATTTTTTGTGAATGCGAACCATTTAACGAGCCGAGTCAGTTGTGCGAGCAGAAAAGCTACAGAATCTGAATGATAGAAAAAGCGAGAGGGCATGATTGCTTCCGCTCGGTGCTTTTCTTATTTTTTTTTTACTTTGGCAGCGAGGATTTTGAATCGAAAACATCACGTTTCTTTGATTTGATCGAAATTTGGGTTGGTGTTAGAAAGAAAATGAGTGCGATTGAAGAAGAGTTCAATGGGTTTTCCGATGAAGAAGTTGTGCTGGTTATTTTCCAAAAAGGAAAGCAGATGCTGAGTGTCAATGGATTTCTGTACAACGTAAACAAGAAGGTAATTCTTCTTATTAACTGATGGTTATAGTTTGTTTATCAAAACATTATTTTTAAATTAGGCTAAAGATCGCTTCTACTGGGACTGTGCAACCAGAAAACATGCCAAAAACAGTGACGAGGCCTGCAAAAGTCGTGCGATTACAAGATTACAAAATGGCGTCCACATTTTAGTTGTGCATAAGGAAGTGCATAATCATGATGTTAACCCTTTGGACGGGATGGAGAAAAAATACAAAGCTGAACTAAAACGGAAAGCTCTAGAATCGAAGGAAGTTCCTTCGAAAATAATCCGTGTACAGAGACGAATGCCCTTGAAGCTCGCCTTGAAGGGTAAAGTCTCTTAAAACAAAAAACAAAAAATAATCCGTGAAGTTTCTACCCAATACGCACCTATCGTCCAAACCCGAGCATCAAACAAATCGCAAAAATTATTGATTCTGAGGCAAAGGTAAGCAAGTGATGGTGGACTACGTGTGATTGAACAGGATGGTGAATTTATCGTTCCAGAGGAACTTAAGAAAACGCTGGATGGTCAGCTTTTCTTGCATAAATACATCCGCAACGAAAGTACACATATTATGATTTTTACAACCTTACCAAACCTTCAGCGCTTGGCTGCCTCCCGGTTTTGGCTGGTTGATGGTAAATTCGCAACCGTTCCTCTGGAATTCACACAAATGTACTTTATCCACGGATCCATTCCATATCAGAATCACGACGCAGTTGTACCAACAATCAATACGAAACTAACGATTTTAAATGGATCATTTTAGATGGCTGAGTTTTGAACCCACCATAGCTTTCATTTGGCGCTACTGTATACGGACGAACCAATGTAAAATACTGTGGTAGCCACAGTACGGTGCTGTCAAAACCTCAGCATCTTCAATGATCCATTGGCTCACCACTTTAGTAGCCTATTGGTCCCAAGCAAACGATTAACGTACCCTATTCTAGTCGAAATTCTAGTACTACACAATGTTTGTTTTGATTCGCTATGAAAGTTTGACAGATAAAATGAGGGGTTATTGGTTTTTCCTATGTTTCGAGGGGTGATTCGACAAGCTTGGGACCAAAGATAGTACCAGAGGGTAAATTTCCCCTGGATTTAGTGTGATATAATTAAAGCATGGACATGGGCTTATGTAAACAATGATTTCTTTCGATGATTTCTAGAAAGTTAACCGAGATTTCATAAATGTTGATACACATCCAGAACAGTTATAGCTCGTTGGAATTTTTTGAAGAAAAAAATATCACGATATAATTATAAATATGTGTAGGTAGGGGAAATGACGGCTTCGGCATGACAGACTATTTTCGGCCTCCCAAATTGAAACACTATTCTCACTGGATTTTCTTACGAAAACACTTCGCTGAATGCATGCAAACGATTCTTTATGCTTTCAGCTTCAATTTGACTATATTTTTTCCACTGAGAAAAAGCAATCTAGCAGGGTTTTCTTGAAATGAAACACACGCACTACAAATTGTAGCTGATTTCGAGTTGCCGATAATAGAACAGCAGATTTACATGCAGTTCAAATGGAACGGTTGCCGAAGAAAAACTGGTTGCCGACAATACTCGCTCTCACTAGAGAAGATTGGAGCTTTATAAAAGCGTTTCAAAACAGTTTTTGACAATTCTTTCGACTGAAATTGTTAGAGCAGCTGGCAGCAAAAGATTGTAAACAAACCAATACTGCATATGTGTGCGTTCCATAGAGAAAAAGGCTATAGAAAGAAGGTCGCTGCTTAGGTTGCCGAGAATATGTAAATTCCCCTATGTAGGGGAATTTACGTATTCTCGTCAATCTAAGCAGCGTCCGAACTTCTATTAGCGATTTCTCAGCGTCACACACATACATGACAGGTTTGTTTGTTGACATTTATCTGCTGCTTGCTGTTCTACCAATTCCAATCGACAGAATTGATCAAAACGGGTTGAACATGTTTTTACAACGCTCCAAACTTCTCAGGTGAGTGTGACTATTGTCGGCAGTCTCTTTTTCTTCGGCACCCTTTCCATTTGAACTGCGTGTTAACCAGCTGTTCTATTATCGGCAACTCGAAATCAGCCGTATTTTGTAGTGTGTATGTTTAATTTAAAGAAAAATATGGCATAACAGGATTGCACAGTCGTAAAAATGTAATCAGATTGAAGCTGAAAAGGTAAGGAATCGGCTTAATACATTCAGCGAAGAGTTTTGATGGAAAAAAACAGTGAAATTAACGTTTCAATTTCGGTTGCCGAAAATAGTCAATGGGTGCCGAAGCCATAATTTACCCTATTATGTGTGTTAATAAGGAAAAGTAAATAATAAAACGCATTGATATACACATTAAAAATTTTAATATTTATTTATAACATTCCTTATTTTTGCAAATGCTTTACCTTCTCCCAGATCAAACACTTGTTATTTGCGGGTAGATCGAACATCTGTTTCAACGTGATGCCATTAGCTTTCGACAGTTTCTCCAGCACTCTTACATCTCGAATACCCCACGCTGGATTCCGGTGTCTCAACGAGGCGTCAAATTGAACATTGCTCTCCGGGCTGAGCTTTCCATCGAGCGCATAAGGTCCGTAGGTGATCAACAGTCCTCCCATCTTCAGCAATCGGGCTGCATTCCAAAACAAGCCTTCGCTGCACTCGAATGGCGATATGTGCATCATATTGATGTTTATCATGTAGTCGAAACTTTCGGCTGAGCTGGCCAAATTTATACCATGGTCATTGTCCCACTCGCTGCATGGTTTGGAAATGTCGATCGCTGTTGGTGATTGTAGATTCGGTGCATTCGCTTCCGCCCGGTAGGCCTCTATGCTTCCGAACAGGGACGTATCGTACTCGGACGGTTGGTAGTGGATCTGGGGAAAATGAGACGCAAAGTACGCCGCGTGCATGCCCACTCCGGAGGAAATTTCCAGCAACTTTTGGTTTGGTCGGCTTTTGTCCAGAAATTTGAACAGGACTTCCAGAATCAGAGCCTTGTTGCGTTCACCAGCGGGGTTGTTCAATTTACGAATGTGGCTAACGATTGAAGGAGGGTCTACATGTATGAAAGTATTTTATAAGTGAAGGTATGTAAAATATTGCTCACCTCATCATTTGTATTAGGATTCTTTAAACAAGAGGAAGCCAGAATCAGGCCAGTGTCTACAAAAAAAGAATAGTTTTTAATAAGACTTTTTGTATTCTTCAATGTTTATTTAACTATTTAGAATATACCAAACTTGATTTGCTAAAAACCAAAGATTGGCTTGGGGTTATTTTGATTATTGTTGAAACTTGGCGCTTATCATCATGTTTTCAAACGATAAGGGAGCATCCATAAATGACGTAGCATATTTTTGATCAATTTTAGACCCCTCCCTCCTAGCGTATTTGGCTATATCCAATACATGGCCGGTCACAAATTCTGAAACCCCCACCTCCCCCCTCAAATGCTACGTCAATTATGCATGTTCCCTAAGTGAAAAGTAAGCTGCTTAAAAAGCTCACTCGTAACTGATTTTTCGATTTGTATTAAATCCAGATTAATCCGCCACAATTTTGTTTAGTTAAACTATAATGTAATATAATAGTCCAAATCATGGTGACGTCACTCATCAGATTAGACAGATACTGTAGCCTTTGTGTACATAATGGACTTATAGTTTTTGCGGATGCATTGTGTTGAGGAGGACCAAGTGTATGGTTGGTTCTAAGAAGGTTTACAGTTGTTGATAATACGATGAGTCATCGTGGTTGCGCACTGTTGCGCGTGGAACCAAGTCCACCTTGGACAACAAACAGATCACTAACAAGAATTCCTTCCACGGAACTAACGTATACTGATTAAAATTTTTATTGGCTTCTAGACTCTTCCTGCTATTAACTAGGTTTCCGGAAAATGGTGATCAGTGGATCCATCGAATTGACTTCGTATCTCCATTGAACATCATCGGGCATTCCGTGAATGAGGTCACTCTTGATCCTGGATGAAGAAATGAGCAGCATCGTTATCCAAACATAGGTTCACTCCATTCGAGATACAAAAAAAAAAAACTAGGTCTAAAACGTAAACAAAGGTGCCACTATCTGTCAAAAGCTTAAGGTAAAATGATTTGGTGATCAGGCCTATAATAGTTAATTTGGTAGATCTGGTTGGTATGAACCAATAATAATAATTACAATAATAATAGTAATATAGCATAAGCATTTCTATTATATTGATAATAACATGTATTGCAAGTTATAATAAAAACTTGTATCTTATAGCGAATTCGTTTATTATCGGGGTTAACACCAGTTCCAACCCAGTGCGAAACCGAACTTTTTGTCAGTGTGAACCTCAACCTGAGCTAGGTTTTAAAAACAAACGAGCAAACTGACGTTCGTCAGAAAACAAGCAGACCCAATCTTGATACCCGATCCAGGTTGGAACTGAATAATAAACGAATTCGCTATTAATTTGATCTAGTCGATCTGCTCTAAACTTGACTTCACTCAAGTTTAGAGCAGATCAAGTAGATCAAATGAAGTTACAATCCATATATGATATATGTTGATGTCATTATCATAGAAATGCTTATGTTGTATTACTATTATTATTGATTTATACCACCCATATATTGCGCGTTTCATACCAAATTAGACTAATAAGCGCGTTTTCACTCAGTGTGATAAAACTGCAAGTTTACGTCTAATCGTCTTGGTGTCTTCGGTGCACTTATTCTTTATGATGCAAGCAATAAGTGCACCGAAGTCATCAAAACGACTTGACGGAAACGTGCACTTTTATCACACTTTTGCATTTTTGGGACAGTCCAGTTTCAGATGCAATCAGCATTATAATTATTAAAACTTTGAATCACCTACTTTTTGAAATACTTGTTTAATAGATTAGCACAAGCTAGAGAACTATTCCGATCTTTCCACTTGCCGGCAGAATAACAACAACAGATGAATATAACATACACTGATATGTCAGCATTGACACGGCATAGAGCAGCGTTAGGCGTTACGCTTCATTCTTCGCAATCTAAGGTCAATTTACATCTTATATGAATGAATGTATGAATGTTTGCAATTTACATGCTACTTGTGAAAGTGTGTAGCAATTTAATTAAACAGGTTTTATTTTTAATGAGATTTTTTTTTACACTCGTTTTTATTGGGGTACAGGAACCAGTTATACCGTGCGGGACCGAAATCCGTACAGCACCGAAATCCGTACACCTTGTTGAATTTGTTTATTTATATGCATCATAACAATGTAAATATTATACAAGAATACATATTCATGTTCATTCATGCATTAGTTTGATGTTTACGTCAACAATTAAGCAGTATGTCATGCAATTAAAATAAGAAAAATGAAAACCTTATCACGTGTCGGGCATTTCTATCAATCGGTTGCGTTCTTAACGATTTTCTAAGAAAATCTCTCGGATTTACTTCCAGTTGTTAAGCGTATTTAAGTGATTTTTGCAAGTAGTTTCCTGAAGGTCGATCGGAAAGGTAAGTGTTTATCGTTTTATATCTCAATTCTAAGCTATGGATCATTCATACGGTATTTATTTATCAAAATTAGTACTGTACGGATTTCGATCCATATATAACAGCTGATTCTAAATCCGTACACTTGTGCATTCACAATGACGACTCCACTTTATCCAATGTTTTTCAGCAGATCATGGAAGCTAAATACACGCCGGAGGATTTGGAGAAGACTGTGGCAATGATGCGTGCGGGGAAATCTTACCAAGAAGCATCCAGGGTTTTTTGCTGTTCCATTTACCACCATAAGAGATGCCGTATTGAATCGCTACTCTCTTATTTTATTCGTATTGTAAATGTCAAATTATTAATATCTTTTAATGAAGAGCGTCAAGAACCAGCGCAGCTCCTCTACACCAACACGCATATACAAATTACAGAGAGCAGACAGAAATGGGCAAGAGAGCATTCCCAACAGTAGCCACCAGCGAGGAATGGCCGGAAATATACATGAAAGTGAACGGAAGAAAATTGATAAAGAGAACGCAAAGAAACAAAGGATTGAGGAACGACAAAATAAAAAGGTTGAGCGAGAGAGGAAGAGGAGGAAGAAGATGAAGAAGAGAAAAGAAAGCTGGAAGCAAGAAAGCATTATAACTTGAAAAGGTAATGGCAACAATGGAGAAGAAGCAGAAGAAAGCTGCGGAAAAGAAGCAATGAAAGATCTGCATTTCTATAATTATTACTCTCTTGACGTTTTAAATTAAATTAAGTTTTAGTCGTTAACTTACGTTTATTTTATTTTTCATGCACAAAACGAAAAACTAATCTTTGATGTCAGTTCATTGTCTTTTTATGTTGGTTTCTAAGATGGTTGTAATTTTTTTTTTCACTTATCCGCCATTATAGGGCTACCATCTTAGGAACCGCTTATTCTATCGCTTGATGCCAGTGGGTTGGTGGAGCGTTTCCATTATCGGTGTATTAAAGATGTTTCGGCAGTCTTGTATTCAGTTTGCTATTATTGATTCGACAACATTGTCCAAGCTACACCACCCAGTTTAGTCCCGGTTAATAATGTTTTGTAGCGTTGAGCTGGAGTGCCCCCAAGTTCCAAAGTATGGCGCATCTTGCACGTTATCACATGTCAAATTTCAAAGACCTCGAAGTTGTGATCGGAGGTAAACTCTAGTAATAATATTTAACCCAAAGAACTGGTATAGGAGGAAATGAATTCTTAAGCATGATATTAGTTAGCATAAAAATCCAGAGCAGTCACCTTCTTAAATAAAAAGAAATCAGTTACCTTTCCTTTGAATCGATTGGAGCATCAATTAATCTAACGCTGATATTACTAGTTAAAAAAATAAAAGTAAAAAAATGAACTTGAACCTTCGACGAATGATTCTTATGTACGCTGAATCCAACAATATAAATATCAATTATTTTAACGCTAAATTAGAGGTAAGAGATTTTTTGTTCGTTCAATTGAACATCAATTGTCAGTGAGATTAGTGGTATTGTTATTATTTAATAGTTTTTTTTTAAGTTTTCCTTAGAAAAATTGAATTTCTGCTAATTTTTTAAGTAATGTAAATAAAAATGTTTATTGTGGTTCTACCATTACTCTCACGGAAAAAAATGTTGTAATGATCGAAATCAAATTTTATCACGTTTAATTCGACGTTAAAATAATTAATATTACTTCATTACAGCCGGAGGTATTTGTGGTTTCAGTAAACACGTTTTTTTTTAAAGTGATATTTAATTTTTTAGCTATATCTCAAAAACTATCCTACTGAGATTTTTTGGACTACATTTTTGGATTCAGCGCACGATTTTACATGGGAAATGACCATCAGCGTACAACGTTCAAATATGCTGTAAACTAGTGTATTTAAACGAGTATATCTGTTTTGGACTCCTAGCCAAGCAACTTCTAAATAAATACTTTATTCAAGACAGCAACATGTTTTTTTTCATTGATTTAGATCAATTTACATGCATGAACGGATTTTGATTCATGACTGTACGGATTTTGATTCATCCTCAACACAGTGTACGGATTTCGATTCAAAATTGTACGGATTTTGATTCAATCGTAGAACGCTGTACGGATTTTGATTCAAGAGATGTGCAATTTAAATACTTTTTTCTTATAATTAAAGGTAATTTTAAGACCTGGTGTTTGCAAATAATGGTAAAATAAAGATAAATGTATGGGGAAAAGATGTGATACAGAGCATAATGTGATAGCATTATTTAGTATTGACTGTTAATGGTTCTCTCGTGCTTAGGTGTACGGATTTCGGTCCCGCACGGTAACTACACACAGTGAAACAAGGCGTATTAGAATCAAATACCTACATTGTATCTTTAATTTAAACTCATGTTTTTTGTTGATCATAAGAAAAAAATCTTTGTTTCTAATGTACAGCAGTGATCATTCTACAAAGTTGTTATTAGAAACAAAGACCTTGCTTATTGATGAAAAAAAATATTTTGGGAATGATTCGATTTGTTTTCTATGTGTGGACCTCGGTGTGGACCGCCATTTTATTATATCACGCAAAAAAAATGATTTGTCAGAGAAAGAATCGATTGCTCGGTAGAGAAGCTCGGTTCAGAAGATTTGGAAAAATTAAAATTATTGAAATCATTTTGTTTGACCGAAGAAGTAGTCGGTGCTTTCATAGGTAGACAAAATCTAATTTAATACATTTTTGCATTGTTGAATCTTCCGTCGTCTTCTATTTGTTTTTTTCACTGCGCTGCTTGCGCTTCATCCGTTAGATGAAACGAGAGTTAACTGTATCATCAGCATTCATGAGTTAGAGATGATAATACTAAACAACGATGAACAACTAATTCTAATTTGCTTCAATGTCCACTCCCTTGGATTTAACGACCATTTGCAGCCATTTGAGGTTTGTAAATCAACTGAGAGAAAAATTATAAATAACATTAAAAATATTGAAATGAAAACAATTCCTTCCTTGAAGCAACCTTCATATATTTATATTGCAGATCATGGTCATGATATGTGTTGTGTGCTGTTAACTGCATGTGATTGTTGTTGTAAAGGAATTACTGCAATCATACACATGAATACATATCCAGAATAGCATATTGCTGCAACATGAATTGCGTGCATCTAATGGCATGGTATGAACAGTGCTTAATAACGCAAGGACTGGCCTTTCCAAAGAGGTTGATGTCGTGGCTAGTTTGGTTTTCTATATCCACCACGGTTGCATCGTTACATGTAGCATGAGGATGGTGAACGATTCGATTTTGAATAAATATTCACCGTGGAAGTTTCTGTTTGAATTGTAAACTTTCAGATTATTTTATTCTATGGCTTTTGTGGATCTAGCGGTGAATGTTCCAAGACGGACCTGAGATAAAACATCCTATTCAATATTTTGAAAACTACGGAAGTAAAAATGATAGTTGCAGCACAGACAAACAGACATAACACTCGCAAGATGTTCATCGAACAAGCATTTATCGGTCAATTTAAAAGTATCTTAGTTGGTAGTACCGCCACCTGTGGCGCGCATAGTCAATTCCCTTGCGTTTGACGTTTCCACACTACCGCCATCTGTTCAGCGTACTACCCACCACAGTGTACTCAACAGATGGCGGTAATGTTTTAACGACGATGTTTTACAGTGAGAAATATTCAATGTGTTATGTCTGTTTGTCTGTGGTTGCAGTGTGCAATTCATGTTATTGTTGAAGTAATGTTTGAGAAATGTATTCATAATGACAACAAAATCAATATTCAACGTAACATTTAACGGAACTTATATTAGGTAATTTAGTTCAGAAGCTATAGTTATAGTGTTCTTGAGAAATATTTCGTCTTGATGTTGCTGTTTACCGCTTAATAGAAAACTTCAGATGTATCACACCGCAAGATTTTTTCTTTAACTTTAGATATAAGACGTAACTCTTTGAAAAAGTTTTTCTTGAAAACATAGTATCTCAAAACATAGGACCTCAGTAACGACATCTCTCGGCCTTCTCGCGGAAAACAAGCTTGCTCGCTAACTCGCAAACAATATTGCATAAAAGTTCTATAGAATGTATAGAAACGTCAAAGTGATCCGATGCCAGCGCTGCGACGAGTAGTTCGCGGAACTGATAATATTCAAATCAACCGTTAAATACGTGAACGAAGGTACACAATGAAGTGTTACGTCTGTTTGTCTGTGGTAATAAGGTATAACGGAAAGGATAACTCGGCTCTGTAAAGTTTATTCGATTGAGCCTGTTTATTTGAATAATTATTTAAAAAAACACCGCAAGATTTTACCTTCACATAAAATATGAATTATGGACCGTTAATTATCCAATGGCGTTGAGGCGGCATCGTTTGTAATGCAATTTCGAACAAATCACTCAATAAAGTTAGGGAATTTAAAGGAAATC